GCCCCGGCCGAGGAGGAGCCCCTCGGCTGTGAGCGGCTTCTCGGCCGGGATAAAGGGGTGCCCTGCCCGCGGGGGAGATCGCTTTACCCGAGTCATCAGTCCTGTCACAGTCACTGCTGAGCGAAGTGCAGCATGAACTGAAAAACTCTGGTTTAATCAGTAAACTGCATTAAGTGTGGAGTAAGTTAATTAAAAGCGATAGAGCTGCTTTATAGTTAGGATCGTAGGGCTACAGAGATGCTCAAAGAGCGGGAGCATCTCTGCCATGAAGACAGGCTGGGACAGCTGGGGGTGTTTGGCCTCAAGAAGAGCTCTGGGAACACCTGAGAGCCCCTTCCAGTGCCTAAAGGGGCTCCAGGAGAGATGGAGAGGGACTTGGGATAAGGACCTGGAGGGAATGTCCTGAATGGGACAAGGGGGAATGGTTTCCTACTGCCAAAGAGCAGGGCTAACAGGTTATTGGGAAAAAATTATTTCCTGAAGGCTGGTGAGGCCATGGCACAGGCTGCCCAGAGAAGCTGTGGCTGCCCCATTCCTGGAAGTGTCCATGGCTGGGTTGGACAGGGGTTGGACAGGGCTTGGAGCAGCTTGAGATAGTGGAAGGTGGCCCTGCTATGGTGGATGGTGTTTAAGATCCCTCCCATCCCAAATCATTCCGTGGTCTGGGGCTCCAGCCTGCATGTGCAGCTTTTGTTGCCATTCCGTTCACCTGCAGGGCTCTGCACACAGGGAACACCAGGATAAGCCTTCGTGTGCTGTTCCATGCCACTGTGGTCTCTGCAGAAGCAAAGGACTGGAGATGTGCTCCACTGCCAGCTTGGCCAGCAACTCACGGCTCCCAGGGGTTTGCTTTTGCAGGGCAGAGCGTTGGGATGGGGTGAGCTCTCACGCTGGGTCCTGAAGCACCATCCAGCAGGAACCCAAGCCCTGGTGTTTGCATTCTGCCTGGCAGTCTGGTACACTGCATGCTGCAGATGGGAATTTGAACCTGCCTCTTGGGAAGGAAAAGGCCTTAGGACAGTTCTGGGCTGTGGGATACTCCCAGGGAAGTTTCATTGTGTCTCCCCTTTGGAAACAGTATGATTTTTTAAAAGTTATTTAAGTTCTGCCTGTGCCAGGGAGGAAAGGCGTTTGACTGCCATGTGCTTGGAGAGATTGTCTTTAGGGAATATAGAATGAGTTGCGTGTTTATTAAAAAAGTTCAGAAGTAGGTCGTTAGCTTTCAAGGTTTTTATTGAATAGTGGCATGTTGTGGAATTTGTCATCAAATCTAGATTAAAAAAAGCCTTACAAACCAGAAACTCGGTTTTGATCCAGGCCAAAGTAGTTTGGTTCAGTTTGGTTAAAACACACAGTTGTTGCATCCACACCTGAACAGATTCTCTTGCCTGGAAGCAGCAGTTCTTGCTCTGGTATTTTTGGGTTCTGTTTGTCTTTCCTGCTGGTCTCTTGCTGAGCTCCGGTGAGCTGGGCTGCCTGTGGGACTCAGCTGTGAGGTTGTTCGGGTATGGAGACACTGGTGTGATACTCTCAGCTTTTCTCTCAGGTAGCTCAGCATCCTGCTGTACTTTAGGCGAGGAGATTTCCCAAACTGCTGGAGAATGTATGTTATGGGCAGGCTGGGACGTGGGAATGGGTGCCAGTCCCGTCTGCAGAGGAGGGTGATTGCGACACTCCTGCGGAGAACCTGCTGGTCCCTGCGCTCTCAGCTCCGAGTGTCCTGCTGAACACTCCCAGCCCGGCCTCATGCTGCACCGAGCCCCTTGGAACTGCAACAGACTGGGCTTTGTGAGCTCAGAAGAACATCTTTTGGATTATAAATACAAATTTTATACCAACTTTTTGCTTAGCCTGTGGCTGTGGATACAATCCTACTGGTGATAACAGGGGCTGTGTGCGTGCCCTTAGTGCCTTCCTGAGTCACCCCAGGAGCTGCTGTTTCACGGGGCTGTGGCATCTCTTGGAGCATCAGTTCTTGCCGTGACCTGTCCTGGGCTCACAGCCTCTTCTCTGACATCTGAGTGCCCCTTCTGGAGTCTTCTGGCAAAGGATTATTAGAAGAACAAAATGAACAGAGCAGTGAGATCCTGGTGCCCTGCTCTCTGGAGATGGAGTAAATCGGGAGAGGGACAGAGAATGGGGAGCAGCAAAGGGTGTGACCAGAGCCAGGATGTAACAGCTTTTGTGCAAAGGGAGGTGAACGCTTTCAGGATGTCTCCATCTGTCTGGGAAAGGCAGTGAAATGCAGAGCCACTCCCCATCCGATGGCAGAGGAGTGTAAATGATGGCCCAGAGGGGTGGACAGGGAGCAACTGATCACTGCTGCTGCTTTCAGGACAGCGTTGAGTGAAACCAAAAAGGGCTCAGTTCAGAGCAAATTAAATATTTTTTTCATGCAAAATGTAGTTTAACTGGGCTGTG